TAACCCTGCTACTGATTTTGATTATTATATCCCTGTGGCCTTTGGTAAGGCGCCATATTATTGTGAGGTCTCATACCTCCCATGTTTCCGTTGTTGAGTTGTGGCTGGACTGGCCTGTATGGCTGATTTTGTTGGCCCCAATTTTGACCACCCTGTCTCTGGCCTCCATAATTAGACACATAATTCCTGTCCTCAGGGTAGTGATGATGATCACTTTCTGCATTCCACTGGTTACCAATTGGTTGGCTAATGCAAGATGTGCATAAGCCCCCATTGGTAGTATCTACAATGTGTACCTGCTGCTTCTGCCCTGACTCTTCCACCTTTTTGGTTAGTACTGTGTCATTAATGTGGCCATGTTTTTAGCAAGAGTGTTGGATGGATCTAAGGGCACTGAGTGAACTACTGGAGTGATAGGTACATTCCTGGTTGTCCACCCGAATTCTGTGCCATCTTGTCAAGCAGACTTTGGTTTTCTCTCCATGTTTTGCTCAAAAATGCTCCACCAGCTGAAGCATCAACATTACCCTTCACACCATCTGATAAACCCATGTAAAATCGCTGCCCCAATATCTGATCTGGAATACCGTGGTGCGGACATATAACCAACATCCCTTTGAATCGTTCCCATGTTTCTTGCAGTGTCTCCATTGGTTTCTGTTTGAAACTCAAAATCTCATCAATTTGTTGAGTAGTCTTGTTGGGTGGATGAAACTTGTTCACAAGTTGCTTGACTAGCTCCTCCCAAGTTGTTATGGAATTAATGGGGAGTGAGTTTAACCAAGTCTGGGCAGCTCCTGTCACTGAGAATGGAAACAACAACAGCTTTATTGCTTCCTGAGTTACGTTGGGCTGCCTTTGAGTTTTGCATATTGACAAGAAATTCTTCAAGTGCTGTTGAGGATCTTCGATTTGTGACCCCGAAAATAGTCCCTTGTTTTGCAACAAGTGCAGCATGTTGTTCGTGATTTGAAACGATTCAGCCTGTATCTGCGAGACTAAAATCGCTGTGGCCAAATTCTCTGTTGTGGGTTGTGCCCAGTCATATAGAGCTGCCTCTGGCACAAAAGGTGCCACTGGCGCTAATGGCGCAGCTGGGTCTACCACGTTATCCCCCATGTCTGGTCCGAATTGTTTAGTTGTTTGTTGTTGTTTGTTTTTCCAGTTGGCCTGATTCAAGGCCTTGAAAACTTTCTCGGGATCTGATAATGCTTCAAATACTTCACCAGTTCTCGATGAGTTTATAGGCATGCACCTATACAACCAAGTCAACAAACGTTAAAATTTCAATGTATAGATTGGAAGTAAAGAAAACTGACTACACTAAGAATTTTTTTTTTGTATTTCTTTCAATTGTAATTGATAACACCGTTAGTTCCCCGGCAGCGGCGCCAAAATTTGATCATGCCCAACTATGCCTTATAAAAAGGACTAAGCTGACGTTGCAAATATAATCTGAGTATTTAGCCCAGAGTCGAACCCACAAGGAATTAACCTATCAATTACTCTTGTTAGACTCACTAAATTCTACGTAATCAACTTTCCAAACGTTTTGAATAACAATTGAGGATATTTTTACTAACTATAACTGACTGCAATTAAGTAAATAAAGACTAACTATGATTAAGTTGTAAACAATTAAGAGAAGGATCTAAGGTTATGATTTCCCCTATTGATGGAATCCCTTCCTGTTATGTTTCACATAGATTTGCCTAATCGTCTCTATCGATCATGAGCACTCTTATTACCGTATACTAGACGCACTCTCCCGAGTTACGCTAGCTGGCTTTTAGTACAACTCACTTTAGATCGCACCCAAGGCTTCGTTATCCCTAATCCCGCCTTTAAACCCTCGGTTATTGATCCCTCATATACTTTGGGAGTGGTGTAGTTCAACAATGACCTAAATATGCACTCTCTCCCGAGTAATACATACTAAATAGGCACAGCTAATTGAGGATCCTATCAATTAACTACAACAAGAACGTAGTTGAACAAATAGAGATTAAACCGGGCAAACTATATTAACATAACACGAAGTTCATCCTTCAACAGGTTCCATCAAAACCCTAGACTAAATATTTAGCTACTCATACTAGTGTTCATCATAACAATAGCCAAATTCATCACAAATGGTAAAATACAAAAGGAAGAAAGGAAGAACTCGATGTTGAATTATCCTCCTTGCCTCTTGCCTCTCCTTGCCTTCAACTAAGCTGTAAAAACCTTGATAATGTCCCTTTGGGCGAGCTGGACCTCTTATAGGTTAAGTGGAATTACCCCGAACTTCCAAGTTTACCCCTAACTTGTATTTTTCCGAACTAGACTAGCGCGGTCGCGCTAGTGGGCGCGCTACTGATCGCGCATATGGCATAACATTCTGCCTCTAACTCCTGGGCTAGAGCGGTCGCGCTAGTGGGTACGCTAGTCTGGGTCATCATTTAAGCCTTTCTTTCTCTCTTCTTTCAACGTGCTCAGCTCCGAGGGGCTTCCCTTGCTTCAATTTTAGCTCCAAATACAGTTCTAAGTCCTCATACACGCAACTCGCTCCTGCAAAACATGAAATTCACGATTAGAGCCAATTTATCATCATTTAACTATCCTATAACAGTGAAACATAGTCAAGCTGGGGCATAAACAGTCGTCAAATTACATGAATCTAGCCTATTATCAGGAGCCAATAGTTTCCATCTAGAAATATGATTGTGCTATATGATTTAATTGTTCTACCACAATGTACAAAGATAGGTCCCTACAGAAGGTTGGAGATATGTGTTGGTGATCCTAACATTAGGGAGAGAAAATGGGCACCTGAAAAAGTAATACATGGAATGAATTATTATGAGTATACCTAGATCTTCGTACAAGAAAATGTGAACTTGAAGTTCAAGTGATAATTCATTTGCAAAATATTGCCAGGCAGATTTGTTGACCCAAAGCTAAATATCATATTTCAACTGCTAATGCTCCAAATAGAATAGAGTCCGTGATGGACAGCGTCCATGGCACGCATGAAGCATAATAGACTAATCGGTTCCAAAGATAAAATTCCTTGAAGAAGGAGAGGAGCAAATGATCGAGATGGCATAATAAGGAGGCAAGTGCTCTAGAAGAGCACCACGAGATAACACTTCATAAGACCTCATAGGAGAGGTTCAGGTACCTGAAAATAATGAGATAAAGAGATCTCAATAAGTTATGTCTTTATTGGGTAACGATGGAACCACTATAAAGTGATCGTCGACGATATTGTTGATATAATGTAGCGCTCAATATTAATAATATTGATGAGCATCTTGAGCTCAAATCTGTCATAGAATGTGGACAGATAAATGATTGACAAATGAAAAATACGCTAGAAAGATTGACTTTATCTGGGAAAAAAATATGAAATTGGGCGGATAGTCCCAAAACCTGAAAGTATAAAGCAAATGAAAGTATAAATGTGTTCTTGTGTGAAAAGTTAAATAAAAAATCGAGTCGATAGGCATAAAGACGACTTGCGGCACCAGAAGATTTGTATATATTCTGGCATTGATTATATGGAGACATGTTCTCCTAAGGTGGATACAACCATTTCAGATTTTGGTCTGACACTACATTTAATATGCGTATAATGAAAATCCTTGAAGGATTTAAATTATTCTAAAGCATATTAAGGTTCCCATGAAACTTATTAAATAATGCTTCAGCAAATCCTATGTGAATTAGAGCAATCATGTCATACATGATTTGTTTTTGTGTCTAATGCAATAGGCTCACTAATGTATCTTGCTATAACCATGAGTATAACAATATGCTAGCGAGATAAAGTTTTACTCCTATGTGGAGATATTGAAATACAATTAGTGTTATATTGCAAAAGGAATCCTTGATATAAATTTATTTATTCTAACAAATATTGTCAAGGTTTTGTTGGTTATACAAATGCAGGGCATAGTTATTTGTTCAAATAATCTATTTGTCTGTGAGGGTAATGCCATATTATGATATTCAACAAGATTTCAATTACATTGAAGACGATACTGCATGCATAGCTCAATTGAAAGGACTATCGACGGAGACAAAATAAAGCATATTTCACCAAAGTTCTATTTCAGACATGATCATTGTTCAACAAATTTGTTCAAGTGATAATTTGACAAACTTCTTCACAAGGCATTGTCGATCTCAATATTAGAGAAGTTGTTATACAAGCTTGGAATTCGTCGCCTCCGAAAAATAAAGTGATATTCTCATCAAGGGGAGACAAATACGCATTGTATTCTTTTTCCCTTAGCTAAAGTTTTATCCCACTGGATTTTCCGGGCAAGGTTTTTAATGAGGCAGCAAGTTATGCGTATTACAAGATATGTGTACTCTTTTTCCTTCACTAAGATTTTTTCCCACGGGTTAAGTAATGTTTTAACGAGGCACATTATCTATAGACATCCAAGGGGGAGTGTTATGAAATACTATGTTATGTAGTGGATGTCTATAACTCCTAAAGAAGTTACTCCCACTAATCTTCTTTATTAACCCCGCACTACTTATTACCATTATAGTTGTAACTCCCACACCTCCATAACCTCCTCCATCATCTTTCCCCATTATCTCAAAAGTTACCATGACATCCCTTTTTATTACCTAGATATCATCCTATAAATAGAGGGTTTCGGCATCACATTGTACATACTTGAATAAGAATCTCTCATCTCCTGCTCCCTACATTCTTGTCTATTTTCTTGTTTTATATTATTACTTTGAGCTAAGTTTCTTATCAGATTTTAATTAATTTGAGATTGAGGCTTTGGTTCATTGACTCTTCATCTGACTGTTGACACAATAAATTCTCTTTCTGGCAAGCAATTGTTGGCACAGTATTTCAGCCTTCCATACTTGCGCATTTCAAGGAAGTGTAACTTGAGAATCCACCCAATCAGTTAATTAAACCTCCTGCTCATTGTGGAAATGGAGAAAATTGAACAAACAAAGAAATAAACACCGTTGAAGGAACAAGATAAAGTGTTTGCAAGAAAGGTAAGTAATAAAGATCGTTCTTTAAACAAAAACGAAAAAAGGAATGTATAAAACGGAGTAGATGGAAAGCAAAAGACCCCTTTCTGCGTTCTCAATTAATTCCTCGAGATTTTGATAATTCTATTCTAGGCAAAATGCAGCCTTGATTTACAGGTTTCCAATAATTTACAGAAAGAAGTACCCGCTTCAGTTTGGTTGCTGTGTTACCAACTGGAGTTTATAAGGCGGTCTCATTCTCATCCGCTTCTATTCTTTTATGTACAGTCCTCAGATCAACCAAGTGACGCATTGTTGGTCTACCATGTGGACAATTCCACGGAGACTTGAGTCGTGATAGATTGTCAAGTATCTGAAACAATGAATTTTATATCTCGGGTCATGAAGCAACCAGAGGGAAGAAGAACAATTTTTGGCCAAAAACTCCTGATAGCTGTTCTCAAGCAAGTTTTCAGAAATATGAAATGTTTTTCAGAGTTTTGGAGAAAAAATAAGCTTTTTTGGCATAAACTATCAAACAAACACTTCGAAACTAGAAATAGTATTTCGCCAAAATTATTTTTTTACCTTTTTTTTTCCTTCTAAAAGACATTTTATAGTGGTTAAGCAATATAAGGGTGAAGAATGGAAGCAGAGGCAGATCCAGGATTTAGAGGCCGCGGGTGCCACAATGTTTCCTAACATAAACATATTGATATTTACATGGTCCAACTGAGGTATTTATTTAACCGATTTGATCCATTTCCGGTTTCGGTTTGAATTATTCATCTTTTTGACTTATATAAATAACTGATTAAGCAAAAAAAAATTAATAATTATGACAACCTATAGTAAAGTACAACTTTGCATGATATTGCTTATATCACAAATATAAGAGAATCCCACTCCTTCCAAAATAGTTTGGATTAAAATTAATAACTATAACATTCATGAAAGATAAGAACGTATTATCAATTTTAATGACCTTAGAAATTAGATCTAGTTTTATCTTATCTAACAAACTGTAAATGTTGCTAATACATTAGGAACATTTACATCAATGCATTGACTAATTCTCTGCTTTTTCTTCTTCTTCAATTAGACAGGCAACCAAAAGAAATTAAGAGAAGATTAGGAAAAAAAATGCAACTATGTACATCTAGAGGTCTCCGAAAAGGGGAAGGTACGGGAAGCGAATGCTTAAGGATATGAGTTTGAGTTTTGAAATTGTGTTTGTTAAAAGGAATTTGTTTCTTTAGTTTAAAAAATGAAAAAAGATAATCTTTTTATAATAAAAAGATTAAAAAATAAAGAAAGATAAAAGATGAAAATGTATGAGGCTGACAACCTGAATGTAAATATCAAAGGCCGAAAGCCTAAAACTGAAGCAGATATATGTTTGAAGCAAATTGGAACCGAACTCTGGCACTTGGACACAAAATGACAGCACTCTACCAGTGGCACCTAGAACAGGTTTGTTAATCCAGGTGCCATCACGTGGTACATAGCCAATTTCTTCTAAATATACATAGAATATATGAGTTTCGACCGAGGTTTGCGGGTGGTGTGGCACCCCCACCTCCCTTAATAGATCCGCCCTGGATGGAAGGAAATATTTTTGTGACATAGCTGATGACCATGCATTCTCAAAATTCACAAATTAACAGGCAAATAAATGGGAATACTTTTACTTGATTCAGGGCAGTAAACTTTTCTCCACTACTTGGTGGTCGTGCACTGATTATATTTCTATATTAAGCTAGACAATTGCAGAAGTGCAACGCAGAGAGGATGATACCAAAGATACTATGATATGAGCATAAATTTCAAGAGTACGGTAAAATGGACAAAAATACCTTTTGCATCTCATTTCTCCCAAGTGGATCTCCAATAACAATAGATGATTTGCAGGCACGTGATGCCAACATTGCACGTACTCTAGGAGGACATAGTGAATCGGCGGTATCATCCTTATAAGTACCCATCATGGAACATTCTTCCTGACTATCGGCAAGAATCGAAATGAGTTCTTTCACATCTGCAAGGACAATAAAGTATTTTAAAAAAAGATGAGCCAAAGTTTCTTAATGCAATAAAGCAGATGCAGGAGCTAACACGACTTGTCCCCCCTTACATTCTGTAGATTACATCAGGCCCAACTGCCAATAGAATGACCAAAGGGAAATTTGTCCAGTAATGCAAAGCGCATTCCAGATTATGAAGTTCTCTCTTTAGTTATTTTTTATGACGCTCTTCTTAGCTATCTTATCAAGGATTGCCAACTTGTGTGGTCGTTTGTGAAGTTGCAACACAAAGATGAAACACTGACCAGTGTCCTGCAGATCTTCAAGTATGGAATGCATCTGAGTTATTACCTGCGACTCCAAAAGTTATATTTTTGCTGAAGGGAACTGCTTTTAGCTTAAATCGATGCCCTGGAGGAGCATGCAGATCCTCTTCCAATAGAAATCCATTTCTCCTGTGAGCCCAAAGACAGAAATGATATTGTCATCACTCTAAGAGAGGACATATCGCACCAAATAGTTTTTAAGCTAATATGATTAGTAGTTTATCAAACAGAGAAGTGCCAGATGCCAAGATGATTCTGTGGACTGCATCTTGGCTGCTATATTACAAGATCTATTTATTTAGTTGACCTCTATTTGATTAAGTAGATAAAGAACCTTCCAACTGTTAATTTTTGGCACTTCTATCTGACTTAAACCTAAAAGACTTTTCTTGCTCTTATTCTCATTTGAAATGTTTTCTTTTTCTTTTCTTTTTTAGTTTCTTCACCAAATTAGATATATCTGAAAATAGGTAAAAGGGAAACAGTAATACTCTCTCTCTCTCTCTCTCTCTCTCTCTCTCTCAAAGAGAGAGAGAGAGAGAGAGAGAGACCCCAAATAGATTTCCCTTTGAACTTCACCACAAATTCCAGCAAATTTATTTGTCTCTCATATTTTTTTGCCAGGAGAAATGTTAGAGTGCAAAGAAAGGGAGGAAAAGATAATATGCGTTAGGGTGCAAAGAATGGGAGGAAAAGATAATCATAACATTAGACCAACCAAATGAAGAAGAGAGTGTGATGTGACAAACTAGATAAAAGAATTAAACAACAAATGGCATATTTATTTATTCTGATTTAAGTTAAAAAGTAAAGGACTGCTTATCCCTGACAACTGACTGATTGGCTTAAGCATCAGTGTAGTCATGCTTTTGACCTTTCAAACAGGTTGATAAAGTTAAGGATAGCATGCAAAGGTTGAAATCATGTCATCTTAACCTCAGAAGTTGAATAACCATATTGCAGATCGTTCGGGCAGAAACACAACCAAATGATAAAAAGAAATGCCAATAAGAATTCACCATAAACAAGAGCAATAAGGATTCTCAATCACCTGAAAGTATCATTGTGGATGGAAATAACTATTTCTTCTTCAGGCGATAACTCCATCTTCAAGGGCCTAAATTCAAGAAAGAAAGAATTACATTTGGAGCCAGGAATAAAAAGTTCTCGAGGGATGCAGAAAAGAAATATTACAACTTACAGCAGCTCCAATCCACAACAATTCTACTATAGAATATAGCATCACACCTTCAAAGATAACTGATATTAATTACAACCCATAACCCATCCCTGCTGCCAGGACAAAACAGATGATATGGGAGAACGATAAAGGTTCAGCAATTAGAGCAACTAATCATCATGCATAAATAACTTATAAACATGTAATTTCACCTGCAATATTCCGAACAGATTGCATGACTCTCAATAGATCAACATGTCAAATGGAGTAGCATGTCAATTCGAGAACTTGCACCAGTACAGTGCTGTTATGTCCCACATTGGTTGAGGGAATGGGTTGTGGTCTCCTTATATGGTCTTGGGCAATCCTTCCCTCATGAGTTAGCCCAAGGGCCATATTATCACAAGGTAACGGAGCTAGACCCATCGGTCCCTGATGTTGTGTTTCTCAATGTTGGGCCCCGTAATTCACACTGAAATCGAGTCCTGAGCGTGTGGGGGAGTGTTAAGTCTCACAATGGTTGAGGGAATGGGTTGTGGTCTTCGGCAATCCTCCCCTCATGAGTTAGCTTTTGGGTTGAGTTAGTTCCAAGGGCCATATCTTCATAAAAGAGACATGGGACTCCCTTCTTTGGGGAGGGGGACATATTTGTGAGAAATGTCCAAAATTTTCAAGCCGGAGAATGTAAATGTAGTTGAGGGATATGTACTCAATTTTGAGAGGCCAACATAAATGCTTATTTATCATCTTTAGCATGAAATATGGAAAAAGTTGAATTACGAGGAGTATAACTTTGACCTAGCATCTGCATGAGCCAACTTATGACATACATCAACCATACGGGCCTACTGATCTTACTTTTCAGATTATCTAGCCATGACACCAAGAAGAGAATATTTTGATTAATCCATTAGTTGTTCCGAGTTTCAACATCTAATGACTCCCCCCTTACGGTGAAAGATAAAAGCAGAGATAATCACAAAATCATTCACCAAATGATGCACCAACTCAAACCAGATAACAAGTAACTACTTTAAGATTGAAGCATCAAGATATGATTTGACATGTAAACTTGTTTAGTCGCTTCGAGTAAAAGTAGCTCAAATCCCATTCGAAGCAATTAAAGAAACCAAACACAAGGGACAAAAATAAAGTCTTCTCCTAATCCCTGCTTTTAAAATTTATGCTGCTCTTTTTATCATGCAAAATGACTTATTGAGAAGGAAAAAGAGAAGGTAATCCCTTTATTCTTTTGGTCGAGTAAAGTAACATCAGTATAGATTTAGCTTAATAAAAACACATCATTTTCCAGCTACTATTGTGTTGAGGGATTGCATCTATCTTGATCCATTATGACTTAAAAACAATCTTACACAAAACACATAGCAGGAGAATGAAGACCCTGACCGAAGCAAAGGTTGCTGATTCAAGATAGTTGACTGTGACAGACGCTCAAAAATTCTAACTTCTCGTCTGTCAGCCATGCTTAGACCAACCAAAGAAAAATGAAAAAGTGAGAGAGAGAGAGAGAGAGAGAGAGAATCATCCAATTCAAATCACATAAGTAACATTCAAAAACCAAACTCAAATGATAGACTAATTTACTTTACTACAGAGAGGTCAGTATACAAAAGCAACGAATATACCTGATCAACAATAAAAAGGTCCTCATCCAACCTGCCTATAATGAATCCAAGATTGAATTTGCCAATCACCTGCATAACCAATTTTGAAGTTGAGAATTTTCAAATGCTGATACTAAAACTCTGCATTTCTGCTGAAACTACTAATGACAAAAGTAAACACGGACATGGAATGATTGCCAATTGCATGTAAATAAATTAGTGCTTTACCGCATTTAGTGTTGGAAGTATGACAACCAAATAGCATGCAATAAAACTCACATTTTACAGATATATAGCACAAAAACAGCTCCGCAAATACTAAGAAGTTCAAAAGAGTAGGTTTATATCAGCATATCCAAGAGAGGACGACAAAAAACACTTATTATGGACTAGCAAATCTTTACAATAATTTAAGTCAGAACACTGAAGGTTTCATGGTGTAAAGAGAGGAAAAAGAGATCAGACAAATTCCAAATTGCAAATAGTGACTCCTGTCATGCCTTGGACTGGATTGATTTTACAAAGAATAGCTGAAATGAGTATTATCTAGTGTTAAATGAGGAACATGTTCAGCACTGCACTTCAGAGTTCATACGGAGTGAAGAAGTGGGTTTATAAGGTAAATAAACTGTACCTTACCCGAACAAAGAAAAAAGAAAAAGATTTGAACTGACACCTTAAGAAGCAGATGACATTATTACGACACACAGAAGAAGAGGTGACTATTCAATTTGGGACCAAGGAATGCTAAGAATGTCAATCGGGGCGTTTCTAAGTGCTATTGAACCGGAAAAGACAATGCAGCGTGAGAACACCCCAGTTGCCACAATATCCTCAATCAAACCAACTACGGAATATTTAACTGAAACATTCAGATGCAAACCAAAATCAGAAAAACTGAAAAATTTTGTTAGAGGTGGGTCTAATAGGTCGGGGTGTGGATGAAAGAAAAGAATGCTCATGAGATCCTAAACAATCTTACCTTCAGACAGAACAGGAAACAAACTTATTGGCAGATTAAAATGATAATACAGTTTGCTTTTGAATATAATGGATGAGTTTTGGACCTTCATTTAGTAAAATCTTCTTTCTTGAAAAGTCTTCCAGCTCACTGGTAGAGCAATCATAGCATTTTCCTTGGCCACTTCATTTTCTGATTCGGTGAGCTCTAGGTAGCTGCAGCATAATCCCTACTGAAGCCATTAAAGAATTTCTTTTAACTAATTGAAAGACCAAAAGCTCTTTTCCCAAGCCAAAGGAATTACTGTATGGTACTTTTTGTTTCATTCTTGAGATGTACGATTAAGGAGTTGCAATCTTGACAGTCTCTGCTTCCTTCTTGATATGAGGTCGTTCACACTAAATTGCAATGTCGAACAATCTTTAAATCAGATGAAGCCTTAGGAGCATCCAAAGTCAGACTAGCAGGCTGTTCAAAAGAAACAGCATCTACATATTTCTGACACATCGTGAATATTGTTGCAACGTAGAATCAACAAGCACCGATTCAGTCACACATAACTCGTTCATTTGAACCTCATGCTCCTGAAAATGAAATGGTATAACTAAAAGGACTAACAAAAATAGCATAGAGAATGAATTGAAATTGTCTCCAGTTGCAGCTATAATACTAATCCAACAAAGCAAGGATAGTTAAAAAAACTCAGAAAGGAAATATCTACTAGTTCTCTCTTACCTCCTCAAATTTTCCATTTTGTATACTATTTCCAGGCCGAATTAAATTATTTGTTTGATCAAGACTGTGTCCGTTCTTGACTGCTTCACTTGATGAAGAAACTATCTATCTTTGTGAACTTGGAAGATCCAGACTTATCACTGGTTACTTCATCACACTTATCAGCCTAACGGATTATCTGGAGATCTTAAGGATATCGTATCCTTCAAATAACTGTCTTCTCCTGAAGGGCATACAGTCAATCTATTTCTCAGGAGAGGTACCTCAGATAATGCAGTACTCATACTCTCGTGCTTTCTCTTATTTACTGTAATAAATTTGGTGAGTGATGACTGGACAATGGTTGCAACAATCCACATAATGTGCATATCGATACAGCTTTTTCTTTTGATCACTGGGTGAGTGGCTGAGTCATCAGCAGTAATCAGACCTCCGACTTCCTTCCAGGGACTTCTGGAACTGCGATTGTCTTTCTTCTTTCCATGGAATCGAAGACTGAAGTCTTTCTCTGTTGACCTGTTTCCATCATTTAACATGCCCGTGACAGAAGTATCTTTTAATTCCTTTAGAGGTTTTTTGAGATAGTGACCATCTTTATGTAGCTCCCCAATGCAGTCGCCTTCCTGAGTATCATCTCTATCTGACAATAATTGCTTGGATTGAAACTGAAAGGCCTCGAGTTGGGAATGAGTGGATGTATGTTTTTCTTCAAAAACCTCTTGGAAACTATTCACAGCATAACTAGCATGATTTGATGAGTATATCTTCTCTAAAGCTTCTCTCAAAGAATGCAATATGGAGCCTTCATCGGACAGAAATATTTTTCTTTTATCGGGAGTTACATTGACATCAAATGCTCTGGGTGGGATCGTGAAGTCCATGATTGCAATGGGATATTGTCGAGAGTTTGCACCTCTGTACAACTCATTGACAAGCTTGCCAACTTTTGGCATATCTACTGGCCGTCCATTCACAAAAAAGTATTGCCGATCCCCTATATTGCGTCCACTACCATAACCAGGCTTAGAAATGAATCCTTCAACTGTGCAACCATCAGAAGTACATACTTTAAGAGGCTCCAGACAAGTAAAGGTACTCATACCAAATACTGTTATGATGTTATCTTTCACGGATCCACTTCCCTGAGTCTTCAGAACTACAGACTTTGCATTTCTTACAGCTGTGTTGGTGCAAACTATTCTGACTCCCTTAGAAATAAGAGCATAGGCCTAAGAGTGCAAGAAAGACAAAAAAATTAAATAACTTAAACAACTAAAGCATAAAAATACTTCTTCAACAGATGTCATGCCTATAATCTCTTATTAAGATTACAAATATTGACAAGAAAAAATTATATAAGAAGGCTAACATGGATGATTTGGTCACCAAGGTTATAGCAAAATGCGACTTAGAATTGCCAGAAGCAAAGGTTTTTTTTGATGAAGTAAATCAATTTCATTAAAGTGGGAAAATCTCCCTTACGATGTATACCAAAAAAGTAGAGAACTTACACAAAAATATGGTTCTCTACAAATTGCACCCAATCTTCTATATAGACACGAACCTCATTTTCCAAGGAAGATCTCTATTTTGCACAGTTGCATCCCTCTTAAAATTTGAGTTTATAAAGGGACTCAAATTCAGTCAGGTATTTCCAACTTACTTAAAGCATTTCCGATCGAAGAAAAAGAGGAATATAAAAGGAATTAGCAGACATATAAAGAATATTCAAAAAACACTACAGCACAAACACAGCACAACTGCTAATATACAAATTCATCTTCAATACGGTGTCAGTTAGATAATTATTCATTATCGAGATACCTCAAATAGAATGATTAATAATATATTTTCAATATAGTTAAGAAATTCTCTTCTTTTAACTTTTTTTTTTTCCTTTTTTGGTTGAAATAAGTATGTTCAACAAATTTCTAAGTTTAAAAATCAATGTCAGCCAAAATGTCAAAGACAGGAGTGCTACTGTAACACATAAAAGTTTGGAGCTTGAAGTCAGAACCAACTTGAACTGAATCGAATTATACCATCACGAACTGTCCTACAGTTTTGAAGGCACCAGTTGAAATTTTGATCTTCAATTATTTAGTTGAATTACAATTAAATTCTTCCTAGGAAATCAGTAGCCAAAGGCAAGTAGATAATGCAGATTAAAGGCATCATACATTCAGCAATGTAATAAGCTTTCCATATTCCTTTCGGATGTTGCGGTGAAACTCTTTACTTCGCACTGGTAAAGTGGAGAACAACTTCTTAACAGTGACAGTGGTACCAACTTGGCGAGCTGTGTTCCTTTCAGCTATCAGAAGGCCCGAACGATCAAAAGTCAAGTGTGTCGCCACTTGCTCATTCTTTGTTCTTGTTTCAACCATCAAATCCCCTAAAGCACAAAGTGAACTCAATGCCTCCCCTCTAAATCCAAAAGTCGCTAATGACTGAAGATCAGGAAAATCTGATAGTTTTGAGGTATGATGTTTTAGCGTCAGTACCTTCAAAACCAAACACACACCACTTTGTACCATTAGACGAATTCTCAATGAACACGACAGCCAGTGCACTTAATCAGCACAAACTAAGAAATATTAACAAACAGTGAAAACCAGCAGCAAGGGAGCTACAGAGGACAAGAGACAACCTTGATTGAAAATAGAGTTTAAATGTGATACATAAGGAAACACCACACATATATATACACAATTACACACACTGGCACACACATCTACATAAACACACACAAAACACACACATGACACATATACATAAAGACACAAAACACACACAAGACACAAATTGATTGAAAATAGATAGTAGTATGGAGAAAGCCTACACATATACAGGCATAACCGCATAAGTGTGGGTGTCTGTATGCATAATACACACACACACTCACACGCACACACACAAAACACAATTTTACTGGCTTATTCACAAATAACAAGCAAATGGAAGAGAGAGTGACAAAAATTTAGGACAAGAGCAGAAAATAGAACGGCAAAAAGAGACCTTGAAATTGTGAGGCGAGATGCCACAACCGTTGTCGATAACCTGGAAGGATTCAGTGCCATAGTCTTTGAGCGAAACCTCGATGCTGGTGGCGCCGGCATCCAAGCTGTTTTCAACCAACTCCTTGACGGCGGAGGAAAGGTCCAAAATAACTTGACCAGCACAAATTCTATGCACGACGCCCTTGTTTATGGGCTTTATAGTCGACGGTGAAGCTGCTGGTCCTCCGTGCATTTCAATGGCGCTCAATTACAGGGCAATGCCGGTACTTGTAAAGTATCAAATCGACTTCATGCTGAGAACTTAGGGATGCATATCTGCAATTTTTTAAGCTTTTAACTGATTATTGAGTAGAGGAGCTTCAAGGACCAGAAATCAAACCAAGCAACAAAACCCTATGGTTTCAATTTGATTACTGTTCAGAAAATCACTTATTTGCCGCCAAAAGAGAACCTATCGGAGATATAAAACATATCGAAATGAGGTGATGCAACGGTGTCGTGGTGTAGTTGGTTATGAAGTCAGTCTGTCTTACACACTGAAGTTCTACGGTTCAAGTCCGGGCGACGCCATCATATTTTTTTTAGTTGAATTTTTAACTTGGAACTGAAAGTTGGAAAAAATAATCCTTTTTCTTTTTCATTGTTCATTCCTCTACTGAATCGCGATATCAACTGTTATTATTTCACGAGTAGTAGATTATTATTCATTACTCGATATATGGACTTTGGTGTCTTCGTATATTAAACATAGTTGTGTTTCAAGTGCAAGCTATATATTTTCACTTAATTTTAGAACTATAGTAAAGTAGTAAAGTTCAAAGGAGTAGCAAAGTTTGTATCAACTTGTCACTCGGTTAAAATGCTTGATTTACGCACCTTAAAGAGAGACACGAGCTGGCACTCTACCTTTTACGGAATCAGATTCGGACATGATTCTTCACCATTACATTTTCTAAAACGAAATTGTCTACTATCTTCTGGTCATTCTAATTTTTAAGTAGCAAATATTTAGTAGTTCCTCTTAAGCATGCTGATTTGTGGGTGCCCGGCAACTAAACACCATTAGGAACAATTTTCAAACGATCCCTTTCTATGAGCAATTGAACGAGCAAACCCTTTCTCTCATTTATATTGCAATCTTCCGTATTTACCAACTGTAGACATGTCAGCGTATCACCGCAAAATAAAAAATATACTTCTCCATGTTTCATTATAATGGTAAAAGAGTTATGTATACAAAAGATTATTAGAGAACTGTTGGACCAAATGCGTGTAATGAATCAAGCACATAAACAGAAGTTGATAATCAAAGTTAAGTACTCTTTACTCATAAGACCCCGTGTTGTTTGTTTCCCCAATACTACTGCAACACAGGCACTTGACGCCAAAGAAATCTGCTGTGTGCCAGCACACAATCGGACTGGAGAGATACTGTATTCCAAAAAAGAAATAAGAACCTCAACAATTTTCAAACTCTGTGAAACTTCTTTATCTGGAAAGAATTGAACAGAAAATGGAGGTCAGCACCCACGATTCATCTAGCAAAATTTGACTCTTCATTTGTGTCATCTACAAGCTGCATCCTTCATTCTTTTTTCATAGAAATCATCCATAGGAGGTCAGATTCAGATTGCACTGTTACTACGTTCTCTTTCACGATATTAGATGTACTGACTAAACCACCAAACCTCATTTCTGTCGTGTCTGAAATAAAGTCAAGTGAACATAAGTCCGTCTAGTAGAAAAAGTAGATACCACCAGTATGATGGCATCAAATCTGGAGAGAAATTTATCCTTCTTGTATTGAACCAAAAACAAATAGAGATATGCAGTACATAAAGCATCAGCCTATAACAAATTGAGGCAGGTTGAGTCTAAACTACCATATTAAAAGTTAATAAGGAAAGAGTAGATGGAGCTGTTCACCCAAATTCCATTTGAGACCTGTGGTTGTGGTTCTCCCAGCAGCCGTTCCAATGGGTATGAGTCCACAATGTGGCCCTCAACAGAGTACTAGATATGAATCTTGTGATGATGTGTACTCGGAAGAAGTTGGATGAGGCAGTCATCAGAGAGAAGAATAATTGGCATGGACGGGAAACGGCATATGACATTAATATTTCCTATCTCACGGTCAAACCTTCCACCAAGTGCTCCGGTGGCTAGAATACACAACTGTAATTACACGCAGATACAAGTCAATCCCACTGAAACTACATTACGACATTTTTTCCAGTAATGGGGTCCTATAATCTTCTAATTGCTCTGAGATTATGCTAAATTGTATTTTGGCTCTCCCTGTGTGTGCTTGTAATTATCATCTTACTATGTTGGAGTTGTAATATTGCATCAGATTTGTGATCTTTATAATAGTGGCTTTTCTCTAATATCAGTAGATCCACTCAAAATAATAATAATAGTAATCATAAAAAGACAATAACAAATATAGTGTTCCTTTTAATACCACTTTATACTTCGCCATCCTGTGAAATATTTATCATTTGTCAACTTTTAGTTTGATCCAGCAACTTTAGGTGGTGGTAGAGATGTTAATTAATTAATTGTTCAATTGGCTACAAAACCTTTACTATAATTTTTTAGCAAAAGTAATAGAAGTTGGACCAATTATGCTTACAAGTAGAAAACTTCCACTATACATGAAAAGGCACATCACATTTTTTTCCATAATAACCTTACAACATACCCTACTAGTGAGAACAAGGACGAGGTTAAAATGGTTTTATAGAATTTATTGATGATTACTTCACCCTGCCACTTTATATCCTCACTTTCTTGAAGATTGTGCATGCAATGGTGTCCCTGGTAACTAGTTTCAGTTTCATTTTTAAGGAATGAGTAAATGAAGCTTATACCAACCCAAATTGAATAAATGACGAATAAGCAATACATCTGATCCACCATGTGAAAGATTTTCTAATGAATTATTTTATTTCAAATATCTATTCTAAATGAATAATATCCTATTATTAGCAATAATCATAAATAAGAAATAACTAGAGTACAAATATCCCACAGCAAAAAGATGCAGATATAGTTTGAGCAACTATTTAGTGTAAAAATATTTTTAATGGATATAAACTAGAATATAGCATATTGATAAACATGGAAAAGGGTAAAAATTTCCAGAGTTATGTTAAAAAGCTTCACTTACATTTGGATGTTCCGGGTTTAGTAATTCACGAATATATGCAACACATTTATGAAGATCTGTGGTATCTTGATCATGAGATTCATCAATTATCTTGGTCCCCTGCAAAGTCACCAAGCTATACATCCTCAAAATATGGTTCTAACCATGCTTTGTAGTGAACTGCACAAACATATTGCACAAGAACAAGACGGCAAAGAACGATCTTGAGCCACATTGCTAATTATATCCAAAAGTGTAATAACTATCTAGTAACTGAAATGATACACACATGTAGTTAGGTAGCTAAGAATCCTCACTAACATGTTTGAAAATGAAAAAATGCACAAGTTTAATTACGTACTACATTAGAAAGAATTTAAACAAGACCAGATATTATTCTCTTGATCTTTACACAAAAACTAGCAAGTAAAAGTGTGGTAACTGCTCGTACACAGGGCAAAAACTTGAACTCAACAATATATTTGGAAACCACAAGGTTTTAACAAGGTGGGCCTCTCTTCCAGACTCAAGAATATATTTGCACAGCTCAACTGTACTGTAAAAAAATTTCTCATTCTCGGATAAGGTGAAAGACAGGGAAGCTCTTAACACACCATACACTAGTAAACTGTCACATGGAGCTCCACTCCATTGCATATCAAAGAAGATCCACTACAAAGGTTCTATAAAGCCAAGGGTTCAAACACCAGATTCTTTTGGTAAGGTCAAACACCAAATTCTTTGAAGGTTGACGTCCCTGGAGGTCGGCATTTAACACAAAATGATGATTCAATTCAAAGTAGGATAAATCATACTAAGTAAGGGAGACTTGTAAGTATAGATCAATCAGGACTGCCTCAATCCAAATTAATTGAGATCGGCTACATCAATCCAATGTATCTATTCTGCCGCACCATTCAGGTTCCATTTCATTTCAACACTAAATATTTTGTCTTTTAAGGCAAATTAGTTATTCTCCAAAACTAGATGTTCTCTTACACTTATCCCTTCACAAATATAAAAAAGTGGATGCTTTTAAAATTTATTGGAAAATGATTTGCTAAAAACTATAGAACCATCACAAGCAAACTCTAGCTTACCAGGCCTCTATAAAAGTCAAGAACATCGGTTCTGATTGAATCCATATCTCCTTTTATAGCATATGGCTTGTACCTGCAAAAAAAATCATGGTTCACTCAAATTTAATCTAAGACCACAAAATAAAAATTTCCAAATATTAAGAAATTGTGTTTTAGCCCAAAAAGAAAAAGAGAAATCCCGATGCTTTTACATATTGTCTGCATGTGTTTTTACTCACTTACAGCTCAAACTTGAATATCAGTATTTGTCCTATGCTTGGACTACTAATATGGCATGAAAATTTTCAAATAGTAACTTATTAACTTATTCTTTCCTCCAGCAAAAATCCAAGTTTTAGTTTCCTTTTGCACATTCTGGTCCAAGAAAAAAAATACCAAGGCCCACGTGAGGGGAGTGTAGCAAACTTAAACAAATTCACAGAGTTCAAAGCTACTAATATATACTATTTTTTTTTAAAAGTAGATTTTTCTTTTATCGAAATGGTGGAAAAAAGTAAATACTTCGCCCTATAAAAACTCCGGTTTTATTCAGAAGCGGAGCTAGAGTGTCGGGAGAGGGTCCGGTCGAACCCAGTAGCTTTGGTTCTAATCCGGTATTTGTCTAAAAAATTGAATATGTATAAATTATTAATTTAAACCCCGTAACTTGAAACGATAAGAATCTCAAACTCATAAGCTTGAAATCCTGGCTCCGCCTGTGGTTTTATTCCTTATTATTTTGCCAATTTGCAAACAAGTTTAGAGATTGAAGAATGAACCAGCAACAAGCTGCTACGTATAATCAGTAACAAGAGCAATTGGTAAATGAATTCAGAATCACCTCTTACGAATATCAGAAGGATAGTCACGAGGAAAAAAGCGGGGCAATTCATCAAACACCCTATTCGCTCCACCGTCAGCCCAAACATGAACCTGTGCTGCTCTAAACAACAAACATATGCCACCATTTTCAGGGAAATTACAAGGCACTAGAGAACTTCAAAAAAGGTTGAAAAAAGGAAGGCGCAGGGGCCATTACTGTGCTCCCAGAGCAAAGGAGTGAATCGAGGGAGGCGTTGGTTAAGGATAACAAGCGCATACGTTAGAGCAGGTCCGTTGTCGGTAGGAAGATNAAAGACAAGTCGAAACGTGTTAAGTAACCGAAAAATTATGTTTGAGTTGATGAACTTGTGGGACTGTTTTTGGGCTGTTTCGTGTTGGTATTGGGTTGTCTCTTTTACTACTGTTTTTATGGAGTTGATATGAGGAAGGGTGTGGAGAAACACCACATAATGGCAAGGTTGTTTGTTGGTCGTTCATCGTAACATTTCGGATTGTTTGACACTATTATGGTTGTCGTGTTGTGTATGAAGTGATAGGGGTATGTTGGGCTGTTTGTGATTGTTTTGACTAGTGTGCAGTCATATATATAGGGGAGGTGCTGTCCATTTCATTGGGAAATAGATTGTGGTTGATACATAATAGTTACGACGCTTAAACGATAACGAGAGTGTCATTTCTCTTATTGTAGACTAAGGAGCCGTGAAATTGCGTAGCTTGAGGTTGGGAAGAATATACAAGGTATGTTAAGGCTCTTCCTTCATTCTTTTGGCATGATCTAAAGTGAAACGAACATAAACGATACGCTATTTCATAATGAATGTACTCCTAGCAACTAAGGTTGTCCATGTTATTCTTTCCTTACAAAGTTATTCCAAGAAAGCATATATGATCCTTGAGTCCTAGTGAAGTTCATATTGATGGTATGATGTCCATAATGTTAATCGATGGTGCAATGACCTTATGTCACTCCAAAAGGTTTAGAACGTGATCCATGAGTCCAGCATGCATTATATATGTATCTACGTTACTCTACCGAGCCGCGCTATAGTCGGCCGGGTATGGCACCTATTGTGCAACCACTGATCAGTTGGGTTACCGAGCTCCACGTGGCCGGGTACGTTTTTACCGAGTCCTCTTTGAGGCCGGGTATGATATGATGATGATGATGCCCACAGAGGCGTATGTTTTTAAAAGCTTATGTATATATATGTATTATGCATTTCATGTCAGTAGCCCCCAGAGGCACTCAGATGTTACAGGTTGTATCTCCTCTATCTCTCTTTACATTACTGTTCTTATTTATGCTTTCCTGCCTTACATACTCGGTACTTTATTGGTACTGACGTCCCTTTTGCCTGGGGACGCTGCGTTTCATGCCCGCAGGTCCCGATAGACAGGTTGACATTCCTCCTAGTAGGCTATCAGCTCAGCGAAGGTGTTGGTGTACTCCACTTGCTCCGGAGTTGCCTATTTGGTCAGTATGCTTTGGATATGTATTGATTGGTATAGCGGGGCCTGTCCCGGCCTTTATGATTTTATGTACTCTTAGAGGCTTGTAGACAGATGTCAGGTGTATGGATACTTGTATGGCCTTGTCGGCCTATGTTTTGAGTTTACAAATGGTCATGTCGGCCTTATAGGCCCGTATGTCACATGTATAAGTTTGTATATCATGCTGGGTCATCATATGTTAAGTATTCCCTTATGTTTTATTCTTGTTATCTCATGAAGGGTTTTCTAGCTCATTTACCCATGATAGTATGATAAGAAAGATATGTTACGTTGGTACTTGGTTGAGTAAGGCACCGGGTGCCCGTCGCGGCCCTTCGGTTTGGGTCGTGACAAAGCGGCACCGCAGAAGCGGACAGGGAGCCGCAGAAGCGGGTTTTGGTCTAAGGATTGAGGACCGCAGATGCGGTCAATGTACCGCAGAAGCGGAACCGCATCTGCGGAGAAAGGGTCGCAGAAGCGGATGGGAATATCTTGGAGAGGACCGCAGATGCGGTCAAAGTTCCGCAGAAGCGGGACCGCATCTGCGGGTGGCAAGTCGCAGAAGCGAGAAAGGGGTGACTCAGGGAAGTCCGCAGATGCGGCATTTTAACCGCACCTGCGGAACCGCAGAAGCGGCCAAGGAACCGCAGGTGCGGAATCAGCTGAAGCAGTGAGGTCTTTTAAGTTCGGGGTTTAGTTCATTTGAACCCCATTTTTCTTCCATTGGAGTCGATGGGGAGCAGCATTGAGGTGCCATTTTCGTCACTTGTCATGAGGTAAGTAATTTATGCTAGCTCGGAGTTAAATACAAGGTTTATATATGGATTTAGACTTGGAAAATTGTATAAATTTGAGGTTTTGGTGGAAAACCTAGAAAATTTGTAATTTTGGAATTTAGCCACGATTTTGAGTATGGAATTGAGAGAAAATTATATATTTGAGTTCCTAAGGTCATGGGTAATCTTTATCTTCGAAAAATTTCGGATTCCGGGCACATGGGCCCGAGGGTGTTTTGGGTCAACTTTTCGATCGGAGTTAGGAATTGCTATAAATTAGTTTGTAATGAATAATTGAGCATAAATTAATGGATTTGCGTAACCGTTGGCTAGTTTTGGAGCATGGTGCATCAATTGGAGTCCCCGGAAGGGTGTGGATTGCCGGTTATGGATCTTCGGAGCAAGGTGAGTCTCCTTTCTAACCTTGTAAGAGGGAATTGTCCCCATAGGTGAAATAATTGACTATGTGCTCCTATTTGCGGGGGCTACGTACGCACGAGGTGACGAGAGTCCGTGCGTAGCTGCTATTATGCTATTGTCCGGGTAGTTAGGGCCCAAAAGCATGTTATACTTGGATTATTTATGAACCCATTGATAGTTTGAATTGCTTGAATCACCTTGGATTAGTAAATTAATTTAAAAGGAGATTAAACATCATTTTTCCTGAATTGTTAAAAAGAGAAATTGTTTTATTTGGGTAAATATTCCCTATAAGTTCTTAATTGACTGATTGAGCATGTATCTCTATGTGTACCTGCGTCGCATGCATGATTCGCGAGCAGGGTATGTGTTTATTTATGGAACGGGCCGAACGCCTCGGCAGATTAAATAGATGCATCTATGGTTCGCGCCGTTCGACCCTCTGTAGTGTACAGTTTACCTTTTCGTTGGAGCGGGTCGTCGACCTCGGTGTGATTTGCGCATGATGTATATATTGTTTCCTGAGAATTTTAAATGTTGATATTTCCTTTCATGGCTTGATATAAATTGATAAGATAATAAAAAGTATATCTTGAAGATCCTCTATTATTTGTTAAAGGTGTTCACTGGTTTTATGGCTTCGTGAATTAGAACTGCTATATAAATCCATGATTTCCTCACATTATTAGTATATTGCCAATTGACCTCTAGTAAGTGTCGAAGTTGACCATCTCGTCTCTACTTCTTCGAGATTAGGCGGGATACTCATTGAGTACACGTTGTTTACGTACTCATACTACACTTCTGTGCATTTTTGTTGCACAGGTATATTTATTTCTAGCAGCCCACTGGGCGTAGCAGCACGGATGATTTGGGGCTAGGTGAGTTGCACTATTCGAGGCGGCCCGTAGCTAGTATAGCCCTCTTCAGTACATTGTATTTATTTCCTGTCCATTGTATTCCGGACGGATGTCGTATTTTACTTCCTTATCAGTAGATGCTCATGCACTTGTGACAACGGGTTCTGGGATAGTTTGAAGTATTGTATTAACTGCTTATCATTTAAATTTGATTTGAGACTATATTCTTTAATATTGTTAAACTTGAAGGAAAATCATAGATTTCAGAAGTATTAAAACGAGAATTTGATTAAGTAACTTGGTTGGCTTGCCTGACAGCAGTGTCCGGCGCCATCACGACCATTAGTGGATTTTGGGTCGTGACATCCATCTTCAAGGGCCTAGATTCAAGAAAGAAAGAATTACATTTGGAGCCAGGAATAAAAAGTTCTCGAGGGATGCAGAGAAGAGATATTACAACTTACAGCAGCTCCAATCCACAACAATTCTACTATAGAATATAGCATCACACCTTCAAAGATAACTGATATTAATTACAACCCATAACCCATCCCTGCTACCAGGACAAAACAGATGATATAGGAGAACGATAAAGGTTCAACAATCAGAGCAACTAGTCATCATGCATAAATAACTTATAAACATGTAATTTCACCTGCAATATTCCGAACAGATTGCATGACTCTCAATAGATCAACATGTCAAATGGAGTAGCATGTCAATTCCAGAACTTGCACCAGTACAGTGCTGTTACGTCCCACATTGGTTGAGAGAATGGGTTGTGATCTCCTTATATGGTCTTGGGCAATCCTTCCCTCGTGAGTTAGCCCAAGGGCCATATTATCACAAGGTAACAAAGCTAGACCCATCGGTCCCTGTTGTTGTGTTTCTCAATCTTGGGCCCCAATTCACCCTGCAGTCGAGTTCTGAGCGTGTGGGGGAGTGTTAAGTCTTACAATGGTTGAGGGAATGGGTTGTGGCAGTGTTAAAAATAGCGTGAAGCGAGGAAAAGCGACAACCCCCATTTCACGAAAAGTGAGAAGCGAAGCGCCCGCTTTTTGAAGTGAAGCGGAATTTTAATTGGGCAGAATTTGGGCAGAAACGAGGCAGAATTTTTCTGAAAAAAATTCGCCAGCATTTCGGCACTTTTTGGACGTTTAGAAAGAAAAAGAAAAAGAAGAAGAAGAATAAAAATAAAAACATACCTGTTGAAACTTGAAAGCTGTTGTTGTAATGTTGTTGAAGAAGAAGAAGAACCTTAGTTTGCTTGAACAAATCGTTGCTTCATGTGAGGAAGAAATCGCTGGTTTTTTAGGAAGAAAAGGCTGGTTTAGAACCCTAGTTTGTTGCTGAAGAAGTGCCTAAAACAGAAGACTCAATGATTTGGGTCTTTTAACGGAAAAAGACTCGTTTGGGCCTTTTAATTCAAGAAGCGATCGCTTCTTCCGCTCCCGACTGCTTCACCGCTTCTCGCTTTTTAGAGAGAAGCGGTCGCTTTTCTGTACCTGAGCCGCTTTTAGTTGGGGTAGCGACCAACCGATCGCTCCGCTTCGCTTCTCGCTTAAAGCGAGGAAGCGGACGTTTTTTTTAACACTGGGTTGTGGTCTTCGACAATCCTCCCCTCATGAGTTAGCTTTTGGGTTGAGTTAGTTACAAGGGCCATATCTTCATAAAAGAGACAGAGTCTTGGGACTCCCTTCTTTGGGGAGGGGGCATATTTGTGAGAAATGTCCAAAATTTTCAAGTCGGAGAATGTCAATGTAGTTGAGGGATATGAACTCAATTTTGGAGGCCAACATAAATGCTAATTTATCATCTTTAGCATGAAATATGGAAAAGATGAATTACGAGGATTATAACTTTGACCTAGCATCTGCATGAGCCAACTTATGACATACATCAACCATACGGGCCTACTGATCTTACTTTTCAGATTATCTAGCCATGACACCAAGAAGAGAATATTTTGATTAATCCACTAGTTGTTCCAAGTTTCAACATCTAATGACTTCCCACATTACGGGTGAAAGATAAAAGCAGAGATAATCACAAAATCATTCACCAAATCCAGCACCAACTCAAACCAGATAATAAGTTACTACTTTAAGATTGAAGCATCAAGATATGATTTGACATGTAAACTTGTTTAGTCGCTTCGAGTAAAAGTAGCTCAAATCCCATTCGAAGCAATTAAAGAAACAAAACACAAGGGACAAAAATAAAGTCTTCTCCCAGTCCCTGCTTTTAAAATTTATGCTGCTCTTTTTATCGTGCAAAATGACTTATTGAGAAGGATAAAGAGAAGGTAATCCCTTTATTCTTTTGGTCGAGTAAAGTAACATCAGCATAGATTTAGCTTAATAAAAACACATCATTTTCCAGCTACTATTGTGTTGGAGGGATTGCATCTATCTTGATCCATTATGAACTTAAAAACAATCTTACACAAAACACATAGCAGGAGAATGAAGACCCTCACCGAAGCAAAGGTTGCTGATTTAAGATAGTTGACTGTGATAGACGCTCAAAATTATACTTCTCGTCTACAACATGCTGGCCAACCAAAGAAAAATGAAAACAAGAAAGAGAGAGAGAGAGAGAGAGAGAGAGAGATCATCCAATTCAAATCACATAAGCAACATTCAAAAACCAAACTCAAATGATAGACTAATTACTTTACTACAGAGAGGTCA